GGCTCGGCACTCGACGTAAGCTTATCGCGGTCAAAGGATCGAAGGCTTTCACGTAGGCGTTCCACTTAGGCGCCGCCCGATAATTGTGACAACTGATAGCAATGACGCCATCAGGAAGAGAGCGAGAGAAAGCGAGAGAGAGAGAGAGAGAGAGAGAGAGAGAGAGAGAGAGAGAGAAAGACGAGCGAGAGCGAGAGAAAGAGTGTGAGGTGGAATATTCAGGGGAGATATAATGCATACGGAGTTTATCTATTATAGATATCAGAAGTAGATAATAAGAATTCCCTATTATCTATTTCTGATATATATCGTACACTGTGCGAGTGTGATCACACAATGTGGGACTGATTCACGTACTGTGCATATACTGTACAATGTGGGACCAGACACTGTGGGGCTGTGCACTGTCAGGTCGCGTGCAGCAGTGGGGTCAAACACTGCAAGGTAGTTTACCTGTTCTGCGATGAAGAATGTTCGGCTGCCGTTGAGATGGCGCCAGTAGCAGCGGTGCACCTCGCCGAGTATCGGGTTGTAGGGCTTCTTCAGACCCTTCGGCTTCTTGTAGAATCCGGACAGGTACCACTTGACGATGTGCTTGATGCGAAGGAACGCGTCCTCTTCCTGTACGGCTCTGTGTGGAACAATGACGACGCGGTCTGTTAACGCAGTGGTTCTTAACCTTTTTTTGGCCCCACGACCCCATCAGACATTCTAGGTCAGTACCGCGACCACCGAAACAAAAATTGAAAGAAACAAACCCTATTTATGAAAACATGTCTGCCAATACTCAGTCATAAAACGATAAAAAAAAAAATTCAGGCAAGTGCTTTAATTGGGCTTGTGAGCAAACCCACTTACCCGACCGGGCAAGTGAGGGAATCTTTTTTTGTAGCACCCTGATAATTATATAGAATTTAAATGGATTTCTTTCATTTATGACCCCTTCACGAACCCAGAAAAACCCCAAACGACCCCCAGGTCAAGAACCGCTGAGTTAGTGAGACGCGGTCAGTTAGTGATGAGGTCTGGCACGCGACACGGCAGCGGTCACGCGTGGCGAGCGTTGTCGTGAACGGGTCTTTGTCCGGACACTTCTCAAACGATCGAGGTTTACACAGGTTTAAGTTTAAGCTTAAGTTTAAGTTAAAGTTTACCCACGACGCGCGCGGACGCCCACCTTAAGTTTGAACTCGAGTTCGGCGCGGTATCCGGTCTTCTCGCAGTCGATGGTGACCTTTCCGCCGAGCTCCATCGTGAGAGTGCCGAGCAGGATGCCCTTGCAGTGTGCGTACGGCATTGTGACGATGTAGTCCTCACCGCGGTTGAGAAACGTCAGCCGCCCGTAGCCCTCCAAGATGGCCGACAGCGAGTTGCCTGCCGGTGAGCATTGTAACGAGCGTTTAGATTTTTTTTAATTCGCGTTAAATGTTTAGGAGTTTGAATGTGATTGGCAATTTAATCTTAGTAATAGTTTTAAATAGTTTAGTTTTTTTGGATATGGATTTCATTCATTTCATATATTTATGCATTTATTTATCAATTCACACAGTATTCAATGATTCAAAATGATGAGATGATTTATAAGCTAACGTTACAATGTTTAGCACGTTCACCAAGTTTGTTATAATATTCTATATTGTTATATCTAAGAGAAAGTCAATGCCGACTATAATATCACTACTGAAATTATACATATTTCCCATTAAAACAGCTACGTAAGTGGTAATGATATAATTTATCACTAGTTTTGGATCACACTCCCGTATGACTGGGAAATACACCAGAGCCACCATGTAACTCAATATTCTGATGGTCATAGTCAGAAAGCACACTTCCAACATCCATGGAAATGCAGCTTACCGTAGAATTTCGATTTAGCGAGTATGCTGCCGTTGATGCAGAATCCTTCCTGCCTGTTGGAGACGTAGAAGGCTGAGATCGGTGGATGGTGGGAGACCTGGCCCGGGGAGAAAACACACGCATTCATCATGACCCCAACACACGGGCAACGTCCCGAGCGTAGTCCGCTTCACGGAAGTATGGCAGGCCGTCATACACACAGGTAGTACGCAGTATTAAGTATATACACATATATATATATATATATATAGAATATAAATATATATATATAATATATATATATATATATACTTAAGATATATATATATCCATATGTAGGTATATGTGTATATATATCTACACATATACATATACACACCCACACCCACACACACACACATACATATATATGTATATATATATATGGCACTGTGGGAGTGATCAGGATCATCATCACACACACTGCAGGGTTAAACGCTGTGAGGGTCCTGCCTGCACTACGCTGCCTCGTCACAACACTGCAGGAGTCAAACACTGCGAGGGTTGCATCGCTCTCGCCACGAGTCGTACGTACGCGCCGAGCTTCACACCTGTTCACCGATGAAGAACGTGCGGCTGCTGTTGGGACGACGCCAGTAGCAGCGGTGCACCTCTCCCATACCGTGATACACACAGGCAATATAATATCAAGTCTATACCTATACCTAGTGATACACCTACCGCTCGGACTCGAACGACTGCTGCTGATCCATCGGTACAATGTACCTCGGTAGCCTCCTCTCCTTTATCTCAGGCGTCGGCATCCAGAACAGCGTCGCTTCCTAGAACGAGCAGGATGCGACGAAACCGCGGATGAGCCGTCGCCATGACGACGACAACCCGCTCGAATGATTGGCGCGCGAGTATCACGAAAAAATCTGCGCTGCAAACTGTGCAGTACATCGAATGTTTGAACAATCCGCGAGGAATGCTCGTGTGTTTTGTGAGTTGATTTTTCTGCTATTGCCGCCGCACCCACCTCCTGCTTCTTGTGTGTGATGTACACCTCGCTGTCCCAGTGTCCCTCGAGCGTACACAGCGTCTCCTTGCCGAGCTTGATCTTCCCCGAAATGACGTTCACTTGGTCCGACCCCGTCAGGAATGGCTGCGGACAGAAAGACGCCGATGACGAATGATTGCATCGACATTTTTCCTACGCTTAATACTTACGGTTTAATAAACTTATTTACAGTTTTCATGGAGCCGTGTGCAAGTGAGCCTGATTCAATTCTTAGCAGTGGACGCAGTGTAAAGGTTTGTAATGGCTAACAAAACCAGACTGGTTTATGAAATTGGACGAAGAAAGGGTCAATGACGCTACAGGTCTGGTTTCTGATCGGGTAACTTCACCTCCCCAACAAATTTCAAGAAGAACCCGTCCTTTTACCCGCCACTGACAACAAAGTGAAGAGACATGGACAGACACAACTGGTCTGATTTCGGGGGGTACCCACGAGATGGAACCCATGAGCAGAAAACAATCCCCCCCCCCGCATAACACAGCACCGCACCTCAAGTTTATGTTTAAGTCCCACCCGGACTTGACGACAAGGTGAAAGGACACGGATGGACACCCCAATTAGATTTCAGGGTACCCACGGCGGAAGCCACGATAAGAGCAGGAACAATTCCCCATCACGCGCACGCGCAGCATGACGTGCCTGCACGCTAACCTTAAGTTTAGGTTTAAGTTTGCGCAGCTCGCGCAGACGCCCACCTTAACTTTAAGTTAAGTTTAAGTTAAAGTTTACCCA